TGAGATCATGACCTGAGCCGAAGGCGAGGCTTAACCCACTGAGCCATCCAGGCGCCCTTGTTTTGGTTGTTTGTTTAGAAGATACAGAAGTTCCCGGTACTAGCTCAAGCAAACAGAGGTTATTGTGGGGATATATGGTAGATAGGGATCTCAGAAGAACGCCGGAGAGTGAGTGATACAGCAGACTTGACAGAAACTGTAACAGGAACTGAAGCTGCATCTATCTTCCTCTCAGAGGCCAGCTGATCTCTTCTGCACGATAACTCTGTCTTCTTCCACATCCTCCTTCCGGTCTCTTCTTGAAACTGACTGGCTTCATGTAACTCGTGCGTGTGCCATGTCTGCTCACTGATAATTTCAGCTTGTCTTTCAGAGCTTCTCTAGCCTTGAATCTACTCATGACCTTACTCAGGTTCTCCTACCTGAATGTTTCAGTCTTTCATTTTCCCCAATTCCAGTTTTATGAGAAAAAGGACTGTTCTAGCTTTTTTCTAGATAGATCACTCTCTACAGTATAGATGGACATTCCTTGGGTCAGATAGCTTCAACTGGTCCAGATAGGTGGGGTTGGGGAATTTTATCTATGTGGGAGGGGAAGTTTCCACCAGAAACAGATGTGGGTTTCTAGTATCACTACTGAGAGATGAAGGTCATGGAGTTTATACCCAGAAATTTGAGAATCCACTTCAGTTTATTCTGTGTATTTTTTTTTCTTGTAAGAAGGCATTTCGTAAAATTAACATATAATGTATGATTTGCCCCAGGGGTATAGGTCTGTGAATCATCAGTATTCTGTGTATTAAGAAGAGGGAGTCTAGTCAAAAGATTCTGTTTGAGACTAATGATACAAATATGAATTTTATTCTAGGATGTGTTCTAGGAACTTGTAATTCAAAGCATGGTTCATGGACCAACCACATTAACATTGCTTAGGAGCTTGTTGGAAATCAGAAACTCAGGCTCCATCCCAGACTACTAAATTAGAATCTACATTTTAATAAGATTCCCAAGTGATCTGTATTCACATTGAGGTTTGAGAAGTGTGGCTCTAGGATAAGTTGGTCTGGTTTAGGTCTTTTAAGTTACCAAAGGCTTTTATCAGGAAACTTCCAGTAGTACGCTCTAGCCATATGAGAACCAAGTGCTAAGAGGTCAGAGTTCTGTGAGTTGGTTGATTTTATGTAGCGCCAGGTGTTAGACATTCACCAACATTCCACTGGACAGTTCTGAATCTCCTAGTTCAATCCTGAGTTAAAATAGCCTCCCAGGGGTTGTGGGACACAGTAACTCCCACCATACTGGGCGGGTGTGGAGCAAGACAAAATGAGTTCTAATTTCTCACCAAATTTTCCACCTTATGACTAAAAAATCGTTATTCTAGATAGACGTTTCTGTATTAAAAAAAGTAATCTGAGTCTACAGTAAGCACAAAGAGGGAAGGCAATCAAGGACTTAGTGATGATACTTAAAATCCATATAGACAAATGGGCAGAGACGAGAAAATCTCCCAGCTGGTGGCTGGATAGGTCCAGAGCAGAAACCCAGGTATGGAATAGCAGTTTCTTATGGAGGAGAAGATAAGGTAGGTAGATTCTGGTCCTAGAGACATACAACGTATGGGAGTTAATGCTTTTATTGCCTATATTATATTGAGTATAAAATTGTTAAACAAAACAACTCCAAGTTAATGATAGGTATGGATGCAAACGTTTCAGGGTATTACATAGGGAGTGGTTTTTAAAGTGTGGTCTCTGGACAACTACACCAGTTTTCAGCATCACCTGAGAACCCATTATAAATACAAATTCACGGGCCACACCCAGGCCTACTGGATCAGAAACTCTGGGGCATAGAGCCCAGCAATCTGTTTTAACAAGCCTTCTGGGTGACTCTGATGCATACCATTGAAGTAGGAAATGTCATCGAGTTCCTAAGTTTTGTCCAATATGAGAATCCACTTTCAACTTGAACCCAAAATGGGAACTGACTCTTCTTGCAAAGGAGTTTCCAGAACTGAAAGACGGTTGAAGAAAGCAGAGAGCACAGATCAAGGGAACTACAGGGCCAGGCAAATATTTAGAAGCTTTTCCCAGGGAAGTTAGCCAAGCACACGGCAGCTGGCGTGTTGCCAAGACTCCTGGAGAGTATGAAACTTCCTAGAAATCAACTGGGAAAAGTTGTGTTTAAAGTGCACTTTAAGGAAGTGCATGAACACAGCCTAAAGACTTTCTGCAACTACTAATAAAAGTTCTGATATAAAGAATGTGACACCCTAGCACATGAATCATACATGTATCAGCATGCACTATATTAAGAAATAAGCGGATAATGAAAAAAAGGTAACTGGACAGCATATGCATTTTGCCTCTCTGGTTAAGGGCTCTCACTGGTTCCTCACTAATGACAAACTGTAACATTTAATGAGTGTTTACTCCGTGCCAGGTACTACAGTGAGTACCTCAACAAATTATCTCATCAGTCCCGTATCCCAGATAAGAAAACCGAGGCCCAAAGAGGTGTATAGTAACTTGCCCTAGGTCACATAGCTGGTAAGTGAGGATACTGAGGTTCAAACCTAGAAAGTTTGGTTCCAGAGTGCCATTGCTTAACTGAAAGCTCTACTGCCCGTCTTTGGAGAGAACTTAATTATGTATTATATACTTAGAGGCTTAAGAGTTTCCATTTCAGAGTGTGGATTTTGTAGTTTTTAATAAGTCTCAAACTAAAGAACCTCTTTACATGTTGTTATACAGAAATAACTGGATTCTGGTTCCCATCTGACTGATGCCGGCAAGTTCTGGGGGTCAAAGTGGGCAATCGGAGAGGTCGCACCTCTACTGCTTTAATAGGGCTGCTACGACAAGCATATACACGTTGCTCTGAGTCCTGGGATGAAGTGTTTAAATTACCTCCTTCTAACATGAGACATAAAGCAGTACACAGATGGGGCCAGATTACCCTGTGTATAGAAAAGGACAGCTGCAGAGGCTAAGGAAAAGCACCTTTAATCACCTTTTTTGGTCTGGAAATGGATTTGGTGAACTTGCCCCAAATCTTGAATTTACCCTCAAATGAAATTAGATTTTTTTTTTATTTTTTTTTAAGATTTTAGGTATTTACTTGTCAGCGAGAGAGCACAAGCAGGGGAGTGGCAGACGGAGGAGCAGGCTCCCCGCTGAGCAAGAAGCCCCCTGTGGGACTCAACGTAGTGTCCCAGGATCACGCCCTGAGCAACCCAGGTGTCCCATGAAACTCGTTTTTAAACCCCACGAGACCAATGACTGTGTTGGTTTCGTTTGCCACATCAATGCGTCCATGCACACGGCTTGACACTTGGCAAACAGTCCCGTGTTTGTGAAAAAAGGGAGGAGAAAAGAACAGGAGGAGGGAGAAAAGGAAGAAAGTTTTACAGGTAGATTCAAGTTCTCTGAGTGTGTGTGAGTGTGAGTGTGACAGTCATAAATGGGTCCGGGAACTTCTGAAGTAAGTGCTTAGGGGTTCGTCCGGCAGGGGAATAGATCACAAAGTTTACTCTGGGCGCGGCTGGGCACGATCCACGCACGTGAACGAAGTCTTCCGGGGAATTCCTGCTTTGATCCAGTCCAGCTTCTCCTGGTAGCTTCACCGTGAAGGGAGCTCGTGTGTGCGCGCGCGTCTGTGTGTGTGTCCGTCTGTGTGTGTGTGTCCGTCTGTGTGTGTGTGTCCGTCTGTCTGTGTGTGTGTGTCCGTCTGTCTGTGTGTGTCCGTCTGCATGTGTGCGCGCGCGCGTCTGTGTGTGTGTCCGTCTGTCTGTGTGTGTCCGTCTGTCTGTGTGTGTGTGTCCGTCTGTGTGCGCGCGCGCGTCTGTGTGTGTGTGTCCGTCTGTGTGTCCGT